ACTTTCATACCTCCCTGACGTACTTCTTTCCCCCCCTCTGTTACCTATTCACCCGCGTGTCAAATTCATCCTCCGAGTTGTCCTCCCCGAGTACATCTCCTTTATACATCGCTCCTCTGTCAGACATCGAAACGGCGCAATCCTCGTTTTTTCTATTTTCACCGCTGGTGACGCGCCTGTGTGCCAATGGGTGACCGTCTGCTGACGATGCTCTCTGCACCTTCGTCCTTACTGGCGACCTATCCTGCCTACCTGCCCCCACTAAATTGGTACATGTTCCTGCACTTGAGCCATTCTGAGACCTTAGCGGTTACCATCGACCGCGCGAAACTCCGCTTACCTGCCGTCCCCGCTCCTATGTCCCAAACGCGCACCTTGTACCACTACTGTTGCGAGGTGTTAGAACTATTTTGGGCGTGGGATACTTGTTGGATCACTAGCAGATGTACATGAATGTACATGAATACATGTAATGACAGCTGTAGCAGGGTTGACCCTGAACGATACTGGGCTTACTGGCTATAGTTAATATCGTGGTTGTATCATGTCTCTGACGTCATAATGACCTCAGCCGCTGCTTACTACACATGTACGCGGGCAAGCAAAAACGCTCTGACAGTTCACATGTACCGTTATATGGAGAAATGAGCATGTACACAGGTGGCACATAGTGTTAGCCATCGAATAAAGTTGAAAACGAAAAATCGATGAAATTTCATGCACAACATGGAACATCCTTAAATTTAATACTTTAGTTTTCAGTGATTTATGCACAAGCTATACACTGCCTGTCGACATTCAAAGGCTAAATTGCGCCTTATTACAGCTTTCACCGCAGCTGCCATCTCCGAGAACGACTTTTCCGATGCTCCCGATTGAAGCCAATTACAACAACAGCCGTGTTGTGTTGTGCACAAACCGTCTTACTCTCGGGCCGTCGAGGGTGCAGAGACGTGACACCTCTGCTCTTATTTCCGATAGATGCGAGGCGAAAGCCGGGCAAAAGGACATTTATTACCAGAGGGACAAACAGCATTCTGTAGTCATGGCAACAATGCAACTCAACCACTTCTGGCCGATTATAATTGAAGCCCTTCTAGATTCGTCAGGCGTCCACCAGCGGCTGCTGAGCGCGTACATGGGGAAGAGAGGATGTGGGCAGGATGCGAGGGGGGACGCGGGGAGGGGGGAACACGCACGACGGATGCGACGAACGAGTGCTGTCACGAGATCCACTAACGAGCACATCGACCGGCAAAAGGCGGCGTAAAATTGCATTTCGCGACTTCATCCCCCCCCACCACCACCTATCCACCCAACCTCCATTCGTGATTCCCCACACTCCCGCTCGCTTTCTCTCTGCGGACTCGTTGAAACGCACTTACGGCAAATGATTCGGAGGTTTTTGTCGGCCACGATGCCGCATGATTAAACGACCGCGAAGAAAACATCAAGAACAACGCCGCCATTTTTCCTCGCAGATACAACCCTCGTTCGTCGTCAGTGATCGCATCGTGATATCGAGAGACCGTAGTTAAATGTGGCCGAGTGATCGCAAAAGCAGAAGAAACGCGGTTAAAACGTGCTGCTAAGACATTAGTGATGATTTACCACGGTAGAACTTACTGTCAGACCGCAGAGCGGCGACTGCCTTGCGAAACACTGAGTAGTAGTAAGTGACTCCTGTCACTACATCCCGTGTTTACCGCGACTGCACTGGGGGTGAATTCAATACTATTCATTACCGTCCGCCGTAAAGCCAAAAGTTATTGCAACGCGGCGACATTGGATCGATTCCCCCAGCTAGCATAATACCCCGATTAAGTATAATTACCACGACATCTGGAGGGTACTTTTCTACTGGTATGTAAGGGAATGCGTGCGAGACACGTGTTCCCATGGACACTGGCTGTAAATGATGTATGTGCCATGGCATCTCTGTCAAGACCAGAGAGCTGTGCCGGACCCACGCTGCTGGTTGCAGTGTGCCAACTCAATCAATACATACTAGATACAGCCGACCAGTAACGACCGCGCTCCTCTGCTGCACACATTTCCCCCCAAACGCGAGAAACTACCCAACCCTGAGACATTTATATTAGCCATCGCAGGGAACGCAGATTGTGTACATATATATGCTACTGCTGACGTGTGTGCACTTCTCTGGGACATATTACACGGAAAGACAAACAATGTGACAGGAGCGATGTCATGCATGGCGTAAGTGTCAACAGCATTGACATGATCTTCACACACTCAGGACCGATTGTCACTGCCGAATATGTCATCAAGGTGAAAATCTTCGTGCAAATTCTAATACGGAATAAAACTTGGCTGACTTTGAATATCTATTTTCGTTTATTTGTGTTATTACAGAAAGGAAATTTTAACGAAAATTACGACCTTTCGGCTGTCTGAATCGGTGAAATTTAAAAGGTGTTGCCATGGTATGAATTTCTCAAGACTGTTTAGATTCGCTGCAAAAATGTTATTAAAGAGTATATATATATATATAGTACAGTGAGGTGAAATTTACATTTTAAAATGTTTATATAACCGTATGTATGAAAATACATAAAAAACATATATTTAATGGATATTTTCCAACATCAAAACGTAAGTGTCTATGGTAGGTATATTTGAACATTTTGATACGAGGATGTTGCATCTAAAGCAGCAAGGATGGAGGTCAATCCACTAAAGTCAAGAGACACATGATTACTAATGCATTTTAAATTTAAATGCATTTTAATGCTCTATTAACTAAATGCATGGGCAAAACCAATAACACCTAAAGTTTGAAGTTGTTACTTGATGGCTCGACAAATTGTTCTAAGATTGACAGCTTTGTTTTTTATTAGCTGGCGTGTAAACGATGTAAAACTAATTATAACAAGTTAATTTAATTAAAAAAAGAAAAACATATTGGATGTTGGTATGTTTTGCATTCATATTCTAATTGCATCATAAATACCCATATACCACATACCACTGCCATACACTTCATTAAGCCTATCAATTTTCTGTCCTGATTCACATAATGGTGTTCTGTTATGGCAGACCTTATGTGAATCAGGACAGAAAATTGATAGGCTTAATGTGTCTACGTCACGAATTTCCTGAAATTTATA